ATATTGTAGTATAGTCGGAAGGATATCAAGCTACAAAATAATTACTGTTATGTATGCCAATAAAATGTAGAATAAAAGAGCTTATAAACTAGGCCCGATAGAAATATGAATATGTGCCACCTTTTAATATCATATATTAACCATTATAATTGATTTATACCATAAGTTTTTATCATTTTACTGTTAATTATGCAAATTAATTACACTCTAACCACCACTCACTAGGACATCGGGCATGCGCAGTTTACCGTGTTCACTCTACGTAAGATTCCAGTTGAATTCATGTTAAAATTAACATAGGCCTACAAGTTCATTACAGCTCATTACGACAAACATTTGGAAAGCGTCCGTGGCCGTTAATTGAACGTACCTTCCTAGTTACTAAACAAACCAAGCGCCGTTAATAATATCGTCACTCGTCACTTTAAAAAGTTATATTCCCGCTGGATAACTCGTCGACAGACTTGAGCAGGCAGAGAATAGACAATATCTAAAATAGCGTATTGTGCTCATGGATGGACATTTTGTTATAGACGTTGTCTGACAATACATTTGCTTGAAGGTCGATTGTTGTTATTTTTTTTATATAATATATTTACCGATATAATCTTTATATTATAAATTTGCGTGGTACATTATACAAGTATCATTGTTGATGCATATCTACCAGAGATGATTAGTATTGTGATTGTAATATATACCACAATTTTCATTGTACGGCTTCCAATAGCCTCGTTGTAGCTCCAGCTTTCCACCATCGTTCTTATTATTTAAATTGCAATTCCGTTACCTTACTACTATGTGATCAATTGACCCGTTATGATTATTGTTTGTAGTTGATTCGTTGATCATATCAGTAACGGTTATAATGATAGTCATAGGTACTAGCACGATTGCAAAACAAAAGACAACCATGTTAAATGTAAACAAAATAAAAAAGGGTCCTTTGCCACGTGCCAATAGACGTTGTAAAGACCATCGTGATAATAAATGCTAAGTAACTGGACCTTTAATTATATTCTTATTCGTATCTATTTAGAGTACAGTACGTCGATGTGTGATTCTGGTTTTATCTAAGTGGATTTGTTAATAATAATTTACAATTAATAACAAGTTATTGTTATTTTCTCAGTTGGGTTGTTTGTAAGCCATGATCTACGTCACCAAATCACAATGCATAGCTAATTTTGCAATGGAATCAGTTTATTACATTTTGATATAGGAATTTTGTTTACTATCATTTTATTGGCCTAGCTATGTGTCAATAATACCGGGCAGCAATCGGTATTATTGTTCTTAGCAATAATCAGTTCTCGAATATTTTGAATGATAGGCTGATGGCGTATGAATGTACACGACCAGTTCACAGATAGACAGAGCAAGTTTTTACACTCGCTTAAAAAATAAAGAAAAAAAAAAACATATCGTCGACCTTGTAGACTTACATAAGATCAAATGGATACATACTTTTAAAACTGTCCATCTTTTGTGATTCATTCCGTTTGATATTTTGAAATTTTCACTTTCATGTCGGGTCTTGGAGATAAAAATTTGACTCGCGGCAATTTGTCGTCCAGTAATTTAATCATAACTTGAAACACACAATCTGTTAAGAACATTGGGTATACTTTTCCAGGTATTGTTCGAAGTCATGTTTTAAAATGAGGTCAAATTGAGGCCTATAGCAACTTAAGGCCTACTTCTTGCCAGGTAGCCTGCGAATTAAAACAAAATTAACTAAAATATTTATGTATTCATGACGGTTAATATTATAACCATTATATTATATGTGATTATTTACCCAAAATGTTGTGAAATACTTAAAGATGATCGAATTACGGTAAAACATTGTTATAATTATAACATTGACAGTCGTATATCTATCAGCATGAGGTAACTTACCCATGCTTATTGCTAATGATGAAGATATCATTCACGGCACCGAGAGATATGTATGGGAATATCACTAACGTGAAGGTTAAACAACGAACTCCATTGCATCCTTCCTCACTTTGCACTTTGGTCCCTCTGCAGCTGTACGACCGGTGATAGAAAAACCAACGAAATGTTTAATTTTGAAGTCTTCATCAACGTATTGGTATCAGTCAGTAACTAGGCAATTTAAAGTTGTTTTGACCTGAATTAACTTTTTTCCCTTTCATTATCATTCATTCTCGAGCCAAATATTGTTCCAGTCTGTCTGATAATCAATGCTAATCTTAATGTTTTGGAAATTTTGAAGGCAACTTCTTTTATGAGAAAATAAGTTGATATTAAAAATAGAATCACTGCATATAATATATGCAGTATAATATATATATATATATATACATATATATATATGTGTCCACTGTCAATTGTGGTACTGTATAATTGATACGCTTTAGATTTTACTATTGATTCATTACTAAAGAATAAAATATACAATAACTAATTAATTATTAACTAATAAGCATTGTTTACATGATAATTAAGCCTACTTTGAATTTCAATTTTACTATGTAAACGTTTGAATGAAAAATTAATTTGCCAATCTAGGTCTACAGAATAGAGGGCGGAGTCGACGTCGTAATAGTTTTGTTGTTGGGATGATTTACATTTATCAATGATTTTATCAAGTTACGTAATAAAGTATCATTACATATGTGATGTATAATGCAGCATTAGTATTTCATAATTATTCGAAAGTCCCTGCTTCCATAATCTTTATAGTCATGGACTTGGTATTTGTTAACTAACTAAATTACGAGCTTAACATGAACGTGCATATTAAAGAGCGATTTTGCATATTTATATAATGCATTGTATCAATAAAGTATAGGTGTTATTTCGATATATAATATTTACACGTCTTAATATGTAGTTTGTATAAGGTCTACAATGTTATAATATCGAAGGACAATGTAAGGAAGGCAAATAAAGAATACGTTTAAATGATATAGAGAACAGCTTATACACATACAATCAACAGATGTCCTTGATATTAACATAGCCTTCTAGGAAACATTGGAAGAATGCAAAATAAATGAAACTTATACTGTTAGAATCATAATTAAGATTAGATGTAATTTATATCAAATTTGCATATTGACGATTTACTGTCTGCATTATTTATGAACGAAATTCAGCTCCCGAAGGACTATTGTTAGTAAAATTATTGTAGGAGATAATTGGGTTATTCCTTCGCAAAAGGCAAGTACATGTGGATAAAGTAATTCTCCCATTTGTTTGATTATAACTAATAACCCTTAGGTGAAAAAAAAGCTATGCCACAATAAGCTCATTAAATTAACAGCTAGAATAAGTAGCAATCGTTAGTTTGTCAAGCATATAAATGCACCTACAGCCTCGTCATCGCATCACAATTTGGTAATATATATATATA